GTGAAGCTATAATTCCAGAAGACATAGCTTAGAAGAAAAATCAACAATAGAAAACCAATATTCTTTCTGGTTAAAAGTCTTCAAACATAAAGTTTCAAGAAATACTCTTCTGGAAGTGCCTTTAAATGTTCTTGGACATTAACTACTCCATTGGAAATTAAACAGTTTGATTGGTCACAGATGGTAAGAAGTGAGAAATCATAAGAAACTTGGGTTTTAAGTTCACCAAGATAATCTTTTAAATGATAGTTAGAATAGATGATAGCTTTTTTTTTTTTTGTCAAAAAATTTTCTTTTTTATTTCTTTTCCCCTTGCATAGTTTCTACAAGAGAGGGTGATACAATTTGAATTTATAGTTGTGACTATAAAGGTGATCTGCAGGTTTTGATCCTATCGGAAGTTTAGGATCTTAATCCCATCCTTTAGGAAAATAATATATCACTCCCATAAATCATATCTAGAGGCTTCAGCTGTTGACAGGTGAGTTGGGTTAAGGAAATTTGTACTTTGCATATATTCTCATACATGTAATGATTCTTTATAATTTAATAAATAAATAATACCAACCTAATTGCAGGATTAAAAAAATATATATATTTTTACTGCAAACAAACATAAAATGTGAGACTTTATTGATTAATTAATAATTCTGTCATTACATTAAGCATTTATTTAAGTTAACACTAGCCTATTGCATAAAAAACTTCTAAAACAATAAAAACACTACAAGAGTAAAACCACAGTAGAAGTGATTCATAAATAATTTATGCCTATTTATAAACAGCTAAGTTATAGCTGGTAGAAATATTTTTTTTAGTAGTATGAAAGATTTTCAGAATATTTGTCTTGATTTGGTAAGTATTTGATATGTTTTTATGTGATATTGTTATTATTGTTATTCCTAACAGATTAATACTAGTTTGATTCTTGTTTGATTGAAGTATTAGAATTGGATTGGCTGTTGAAATTGTGCAGATCATTTGGAGGAATTGAGCTAGTTTTGGTTTTTGATTTTGAGAAAATTTTTTTAATGTCATTGCAGTGATGCAGTAAAGCGTATTGTATTTAAGTTGTTTATAAGAATTTGATTAAGACAAATAGGAGAATTCAAAACTCTACTTGAATGTATTTTTAGAAATAAATTAACAATATTGAGAATGATGAAAAGGATAGTTATTATAATAATAATAAAAGAGGAGGTACATAAAGACAAAGTTAAAAAGGAGGACTGCCATGAGCCTTTCCCTATATAATCAAAGAGCAAACAAGACTCACAAACTTGCTTGGCTTTTGATCAGAGGTCCCATTCTGATGCAACAATGGATTTTAAAGTTCTTATATCCTTAAGTTTATGGCATAATTGGTATATTGAAGAGAGAGAGAAAAGCATTTCTTTCAAAAAAATTACTATAAAAGGAAATTTTAAAAAATTAGTGATGAACAGGTGAGAGTTTTTTTTTATTAAATAATTTTTTGGGGGTTTTTTCTGTAGGTAAACATTATTTCTTTATTTGATATTATATATAATATGATATAGATTACAATATCTTTTATATATATAAGTAGCAAGTTAAATTCTAGCTTGCCTATATAAACATATCTAGTTAATATTGAAAAAAAAATTCAAAACAGTACTATATACTAGCTGTGTCTGAATAGCAGCTATGCCTATCTACTTAAAAAATTTTGCGAAATCTTTTTGTAAATTTGTAATTATAGTAATTGAGAGAAAAAAAAAAATAAACATAACTAAAACTAAATGAAATAAACTATAAAATCTATAAGTAGAAAACTAATTATTTCTCCAAGAGAACTCTGGACAGGCTCATTATCTTATCTCTTTGACTCTTTGATTACCATAAATAGTAGAGTATATGTGACATTGTTTGTTATTATAGTTATCAATAGTGCTGTGATTGATATTGTTGTTATGATTATTGTTATTGTAATACAAAACTGGTTTAAACAGGTTCAGTTTTTGTTTTGATTTTTAGACAAATCTGATTGGATAATTGGAGAGTGTTGATTATCTGAAGGGGGTAAACTGATTTTGATTTTTTGAATAAAAAATTTTGAAGATTTTGAAGTGACACAGTAGGTGTCGCCATAATAGAGTTGTGTATAAATATTGTATTAAAACAAACAGTAGATTCAATAACTCTGTTTAAGTATGTATTTTGGAAAGTATTTGGTTTAGTGAGTATGATAGTGATAATATAAATGGTTTTTATGATAAAATAAGGGTAAGAAGGTGTGCAAGAAAACAAAAGAATAGAGAACTGCCATGGACCTTTTTCCATGCAACTGAAGGATAAACAAGACTCTCAAATTTGAGTAGACTTTGACCAAAGATTTCATCTCACTGCACCAGTTGTTTTGAAGGTTCTTGAGTTTCTGAGCTGGAACTCACTTGTGATAAAGAGTGTAAAATATTTTTTCTTGTTTAAAATTACTATAAAAGAAAAAATTTTAATAATTAGGAGAAAGTTTTTTTTTTTATTATAGTGCAATTATTTTTATTTCATATTATATATTATTATTTTTATATAAAATTAAATATTTTTTATATAATTTAAATCTTATTGAAAGTTGATTTATAATAATTTTGATTTTAAATATAATTAGTAATTTAATTTGATATATTAAAAAAAAAAAACTCTTATTTGTTCACTATTAATTTTTTTAAAAATTTTTTTATCATAATTTTCTTAAAACATGTATTTTTTTTTCTTTTTAATATGTCAACTATACTATAAGCTCAAGGGTATAATGACTTTAAGAATCATTATTACATTAAAATAGGATTTCTGGTTAAAGATCAAACAAGTTTGAAATTTTTGTTTACTTTTTGATTATATAAAAAAAGTTTATAATAATTTTTTTTTATAATTTTGTCTTTATATATTATTTTTTTTATTATTTTTAATATTATTAACTTTTTTCTAAAAATATATTCAAGTAAAGTTATATATAGTCAAACTTCATTATAATGAATAGATTGGAACTATAAGGCAAAAATTTTAAGAAATTCATTATAACGAGATTTAATTGATAAATTTGATATAATAGGTTAAATTTGCTATAAATGTTTTTGTATTTATCTTTGATATAACAGGTTTTTATTTAGTTCTTTGGTATAACAAAATTCGATATAACAAGATTTGACTGTATTCTTTTATTTGTTTCAATTAAATCTTTTTAAACAATTTTATATGATATATTTTATTATACTATCTTAACAATATTAATAATTTTTTTAAAATCAAAACTTAAAACCAATTCAATTTCTCAAAATAATTTATACAATTTCAATAACCAATCAAACTCTAATACTTTAATTTAATAAGAATCAAACTGGTATTAATCTGTTAGGAATGACAATAACAATAATATAATATAAAGTCATATTAAAAACTTATCAAATTAAGACCAACTTCTTGAAAATTTTTTATATTATAAAACAAAAATATTTACATTTGTTAAAATTTAGCTATTATAACTAAGTATAAATTATTAATAAATTATTTTTGGTATAATACTACTTATTTAATATAAGTAGCATTAAAGGTTATATATATAATAGATTAATATCAACTTAAATAGATATTTAATATAATAATAGAATTATTATTAATCAATAAAATCTTATGTTTTATGCTTATTTACAATAAAAAAATTTTTTTTTAATTTATTATTATAATTAGTAAATTATATATATATGTTTTAAAAATTTATATTTATAATAATATTTAACAAATTATGATTAATACTTAATAAATTTATTAAAAACATATACTTAATTTGATTTAATTAATTATTAAATTATTTATTCTTATATATTATTTTTTTATCTATGATTTTTAAATATTTTATTTGAAATTATCTTTTTAATGTTTTTTTTTAAAAAATTTGTATTTATTATTACTTTTCAATTTTTGTTTATTTTATATATATTTTTTAATAATATATATTTTTTAAAATATATAATTTCTTATAACAAAGAATTTTTAATTTTTTTGTTAATTAACTAATTGTTATTATTATTATTATTATTTATTGTTTTTTAATATTCAACTTGTAGATTTAAATCAATAAGTTTTTTAATATTATTGCATTATAACAATAAGATTTATTATAGTTTTATTGACAAATTAATTGAAAAGATTAGATCAATTTTATTTATTTCTCGAAATTATTTAACAAATTTTTTATATTGATTTAGTTAATAATAATTTTTAATCGCAAACAGGTATTTTTAATTTTTAATATTTAGTTAATAATAATTTGATTATTTGATTATTTGATATAAAAATATTTATATAAAAAATATATTTTGACAAAATATTAATTTATGTTTTTGTAATCAAAAATTTTTTTCCTGAATCTTTTGTTTTTTTTTTGGATTTCTAAATCATGTCGATTTTTTTCGAATATTTCTTTTACGCGATATAAAGAGAGTACAAGTACTGCAAGATCCTTGAGTGCACTGAAGAGTACACATCAAGAACGTGAGAGAATTATGAATGATCTTGGTAGATCAAAAACGTTCAAATGTATGGAATGCCTGGAATACCTTGCTATGACTTTGGGACATGAACCTATATGGGATAGTAAAGACTAACTTAATTTATTCATATTTCAAGGGTAGTTGAACGATAGTTTAAAGCATAATTTATGTGGATGATAATATATTTGACCTTCAGATCTTATAGTATCTCACATTACACAATCGCTTCAATTTACGTAAGATACATATTTACAGCTTGGCGTAGCGACATTATTTTATGATGTAAAAGATGAATCATTATTATTATCGAATTACATTATTATACAGAAGGCCAATGACCTAATGATTTAACAAGCTAAATATAAATAAAGAACTGATATTAGCAGTGAGATATTTTTCGAAATATTTTCTTCAGATAATTCTACGTCACCCTCGCTTTTGACCATTCACCTAGACGAGACGAGAACGAGAAACGTGTCAGACCTTGGAACTATGACGGACAAAGCTGCCGAGGTGAAAGAAAACATTAAAGAAAAGATTCATTCGGTTAATCCACCACAACATGCTCCTACACCAGAAAAAATTGCTTCCCCCCTCGTCACTCTAAGCAGTCACACTGATCCCTACCCTCATTACTTCATGTGTGCGGCTAGTAAGTGTTTCTGTTCACGCATATTTTTTTTAGCTTCGTGACTAATCACCAATTTGTTGAAGAAACATTTGACATTAATATAAATTATCAAAATAAACAAATATGTAATCTAAATAGCTGATAATAAACAAAATTCTTTTCTTCTCAGCTTTAATTGGTTCAGGATACGCTCATCAATATTTGAAGCAACCAAGAACGGCTCTCGTTGCTGCCGCAATCGGTGCAGCTTATGGAGTTGCAGGGTAAGTTCACAAAATTTTACATTAACTGTTATATTCGTGACTGACATTCGATATGGTCATTGCCATTTATAGTGCTGCGATCCATGGAGGAAATCATAGGGCAGGATATAGCATTGCTTCCTGTAAGTAAAAAAACTTTATTATACTTTAATTCTTGTTGGTCACTGACATCCTGATAATTCTTGTAACACAGTGGCATCGGTGGCTCTTGTCGGGACTTCCGGTCCTAAGGCATGGGCAGCCAAAGAACCGTTGCACGCGGCTCTTGCAAGTTTAGGAGCTGTCAGTACTGCGGGAAATACATTAAAGTTGTACCAAATTGATAAAGGTAGACCAAGAGAATTGGAAATGAGAAAGTGAATTCAATGATAGAACGCTACCACATGTAGAAATGATGTTGGAATGTTTTTATAAATAAGATTTTTTCTATTTGCAAATAAGCTTAATTTTTCGTGACATTTTCATTTTACAGTCAATGAATGTTTATATAAAATAATATGCCCACGATAATTACTGTCCATTGATATTAAACGATTAAATATGATGTTAATACAGACAGTATTTATGATGGGACGTTTATTCATGGTTCAAATAAATTTCTATCGGTGTAGTTTACTTTTTTTTAAACTAATAAGTAATTCAATTACACGTGCTGCATATACAGTACGAGTCATAATTTTTGAAAAGAACAATTATTTATTAATCAGGTAAAGTTTAAATTATCCTAAATAAATTTAATTTAATTATATCTTTAATAAAAAATTGATTTCAAAATAAATAAAAAAAAAGATCGAATAACCTTTTAATTTTTAAAGATTTTTGTTAAGCATTAGTGAAAATTATTATACAGTATATATACTGTAATTATAATTTATACAGATAATAATTTACCATCGATTTTAAGAATGATGCTATTTATCTCTTCCAAACTTTAATATCATAACGCTTGGTTTTAAAATTTGGCGTAAAGAATTGTACCACGTCTTTATCCTGACCTGGAATTTCTTCAAGTCGATACCTCGCCAACAATGTAGATACCAACAAGCGTATCACCATCAGGGCAAAACTATGAATGAAGAATGCAGAGTTAAGTCCAAGTATATAGGAAACTGATAACTCTTGCTTACTTGTTTCCAATGCAATTGCGAGTGCCTAGTTGAAATTAGAAGATTATTTTCCGATTCAATTGTACCAAATTCACGTGTGCAGTTGGTAAATACAAACCAGCCGAGAAAGGGATGAAGCAGTCTTTCGGAATTTTATCGGGATTTAACCAACGTTCCGGTTTAAATTCGTTGACATCTTCGCCCCAATATTTTGCGGAATGGTGTAGTTGAAATATATTTGCACCCAACATTGTCTAGGGATGTAGACAAATGAGGAAATCGAATTCGTTAATGTAAAATAAAGAATATTGCATACCCCTTTAGGAATTAAATATCCGCCAAGGACTGTGTCTTCTGTGGTTACTTTTCCTGGACCTGTTATTGATATTAATCGTCGTTACTGATGAGAGAGAGATTCCTAAATATGCATTTACTTACCAGCATCTATATACAGCATCATATTAGATTCATTGATTAATGATTATAATGAGAATATGGATCGAAAGATTGAAAAAATCATAGATTAATAAATTGCTGGTAAACATAACCTCACCGTGACTAATTGGATGAAGCCTCAAGGTTTCGTTTACCACGCAATTTAAGTATGTTAGGTCTTTTAACTTTCCGTGTGATGGAAATTTTCCAGACTCATCGTCTTTCAACGCTTCGTCTAGTTCTTCAGTAAGCTTTTTCATAACCTCTGGATTCTCAACTAACATAGCAAACACCATTGTGGTGGTAAAACTTGTAGTATCACTGCCGGCAAATCTATAATATGTATGCGAATACGAGTTATCAAATTGCAGTTCAAATTGCAGTTAAGGCTTGACAGAATCGACAGACAATGATAATTACGCACATGAATTCTATTATCTGATCACAAATTTCAATATCTGTCATCCCTCCATCTTCATGCTGAGCATCTAAGATAGTTTGTAATAAATCTTGTCGCCTGGATCCGTTTCGACGACCTTCCATTAAATTATTTGCAAACTGTGAATTAAGGAAAGTATTAACATCATTTGATCGAAAGTTAAATTATCACAAAGGATTGGGTAAGCATTAGTTTACATTTTCGACATAGGGATCTAGTTTCATGAAGTATTTCAATATCGGAAACATTCCGACCTATGAGGATAATAACAATCAATATTATCTGAAAATAGAGTTACAACCTATCAAAAATACATACCAGATTCCTCCTACGCCTTTCCTCAAAGACCTTTTGCGTCAGCAAATGGTCTCCGTTCATTATAGTCTTAAAAGAACTACCGAATGCCGTTTCGCCAATAATGTCCTATTGAACAAAATCACATTCGTAACTCGAATCGATAAATAAAAAATGGTTCTGTAGTGAAGGTGTCAAATAGATCACACACCATAGTACACGCCTGAATTATTTTAACAAAATTTATGACGGCACAATCCAAGTTTCCAACCGACGCAATTGATTGTTCCATCTTTTCTATTAAATCTTCAAAGACCGAATGAATTAGTGGTTCAATAGATGTCAAGTATTTGATCGAAAATGCCGGAGAAAGCATCCTGCGCTACAGGTAAAAATCAGTCAATACATATTTATTAATCGCGAAACATCGGTAACAACTTACGCGTTGTTTATGCCATGTCCTGTCCCTTCATAAGTTAAACTAAATATAAGATTAGTGGGGTAAAGAAATACTGATGATGATTCGAATCAAACCTGGCTGTTAACAGAGTTGTCGAGTTAAGTTCTAGTTGCAAATATTTATCATTTTTGGGTAATTCCTTAAGAGAACAATTCAGAAAGATTATCATCTATCATCCTGTATAAACATCAAACCGAAAGAAACAACTTTACGTTGGTCACCAAAATCTAATGTGAATAAGTTGGGTGAATTCTTGAGCAAATCATTGTGTTCGATTATCGCTAATCACTTCACCTGTTTTATAGCATCCTTGTCTGCAATCAAAACAGCTCTGGGCGCTTTGAAAGTTGATTTATTATTGAGACATTAAATTGAACAAAATCGATATGCGGTAAATAATAACTATAATAATAACTATGCAGATAATTTTTTGGATAACTTTACCGATACGAACAAACGGTCCATACTTTGGGAACAATTCATATTGTATCCACTTCCATCTATTCGAGTCCCACGAATTTCACTTATAAAAATTATCTAATCAAAGTTTAAACGATACAAGTATTTAATCGATTGCGCACCTCATTCCTTTTGCTTGTTTACTCGAAGCCAATTTTCTTGACAAAAAATAAAGCTTTGGTCCAGGAATTTTGCAAAGTGGACCGATGTAAGCAAGATGGATGACCTTCAATTTAAAACCGGAAATCGTTTTATGACTTTTATCATGAAAATTTTTTGTATCAGAATTAATGTATATACATTGTAGACGTATCTTGCTACGTGGAAAAATCCAATAATCAGAAGAGGCCAGATGGCATCTTGCAAGGTAAGAAGCATTTTTGATTTCTAAATTTGCTTATCGGGCTAAAATATTACAGCATTTATATACATATAAAGATGCACATGTGACCAAATAAGTTCTCGTCGGAGACTTAAATATGAACTCACGTAATTCGCAGTTCATACGTCATAGAAAACTCCATGAGACCAAAAGTTGATAAGCGTGTTCATTTTTTAACCTTAGACTTTATACCACTTTTTCTTCACCGTTCCAAAACAGATCAATGATTGGAATGTCGAATTTCAATAGGAAAGAAATATTAGAAGACCTTCCATCTCCAAGTAAAGAATTACGAGATGTCCCATTTTCCAGGTAAACAGTAAGAACGTGTCAAAAGTTATTTCGCGATACTTAATTTATTTCTTGTGCAGAGTGTCGAAAACAATAAAAACGCCAGATCCGACGGACATAGGCACGTATAAATTGGCTTGACTTCATTATTTTTAAATATGTATACTAATATGATTAAGTAGGCGAGAGGCTATTCGTTCCCATGCAACGCCGTTCTAATGCCTCTAATGCCTTTGGTGTTGAGGAAACGCCACCGTCTTCTCCAAATTTCGACCTCCCGGAAATTAATTCCTCTCCAACCACAAGGAACAATTCTCTGAGAAATTACAATACTGGTAGACTTAATGAAAAATACGCAATGATGCAGGTACAGTAAAAGATTGATGTTTCGGTCTCACATTTGAACAAATTATTCAATTTGGATTCGTGTCTTGTAGCAAAAAATGTCTCAAATGGTTCAGGAAATAAGAACACCGCCTTTAATCAACAAAGAACCTCCAAAGACGCCAAAACGACACCCCCCGGTAATGCTTCGTGAATTGCAAGCTCGTGATGAGGAAAAAAGTCCTTTCCTTGTCTCTCCTACACCCAAGTGGCCTGGAAATAGAAAAAAACGGGAACTTGAGTTGGATGACGATTCAGAACTTGGAAATTTCCTCAAGCGCTCGCAGGTAATGAACGAGTTTTGCGTATTCTTATTATTCGAGTGCTAAAGTCCTTCTTCTTTCAAACTTATCACAATATCTGAAGAGTGATAGTTGGCCACCGAGAACATTCAAGCGTAAAGATACCGGTCAAACGAAGGTCCCAACAAACACGCAGTCTTCCTCTACGCCACCACATCGTCGCAGCGGTTTCTACTCACGTGCACCAACCGAACCTTTCCGTTATTTTTCTAGAACGGAACCAAGACGTAGACCGCCATCGTCTTTTACCACTCCCAAGCGATCAACCGATCAAAAATATCGACAACGAATTATGAGAAAACACGCGACTAGGTTTGCATCTGTCTGGCCTCCGCAGAAACCGTTGCCGGAAGGTCAAGGTTATGAAGAAGAGATGGAGGCCTTGCTAGAATCAGCTCCGGTTTCTCCGTCGCCAACGATTACCAAAAGTCGTTCGGAAGAAGACATCAATCACCTCTCCAGTTTGGTGGGAAACTTTGATATGGATGATAAGGAGGATGTATGTTGACTTACTCAGGAAACATTTCGTCTTCAAATTTAATTCGTTAACTGTTTTCCCGTCAAACAGGAACAAGCCTCACCGACACATGTAGCTACAAATATATATACACACCAGTTGACTCAGCAAAATCTAAGTTTCGATGATGCTGCGAATCCTCCTCTTGCCACTAATTTAGAGATAGAAGAATTCTTTGTTGAAACAGAAGAATTTACGAGACTCGAAAATCGCGAATCGTATTAATGATAAAATTGAATTCGGATATTTGATGGTACATGGTGACCGCGATAAACTTTACAAAATGTTTATTGACAATCAATAGTAGTAGAAACTCGTCTCATATATTAGAAAACTAGGTAGTTAGCAAATTTGTAGTAGACCAACTCGCAAATAAATAAAAGGTCACGGAATAACGTTAGTGAATGAAAGTATTATTTTACCCTAATTTAGATAGTAGTCTCGTACAGTATTAATATATATTTGTATTCACATGGATTAAAGTATAAGATGCATGCAAAACAGTATCAAAAAAATGGCAATGATTTATTATTTCAACTTAAATAAGAAAAAAAGATCGGAAACTAATTACTGTATGCTTTCTACGCGTATTTTTCATTACATTTACCACGTGTATCAGCGAACTAACTTTATTCGGATAAATTGAATTCGGAAAAAGCTATGGTTGATCAAAACAAGATTATTATTCAACGGCCTCAATTTCTTTTCTCTCACGCATATCATACAATTTTTGTTTGACGACATTACATCAAACATTTAGAATGTAAATACTCAACTTGATGAGACAAAAAGTCTATATGTACTTAACTCACCGGTAATACGCATTATATTATAAACTTAAAAGTACATCGCAGCATAGAAAGATACAAGTCTTGGATATTCTACATACAATGCATATATACACACAACACCAATCCCGAAACTGATGAATTCGGATATGCAATTTAAAGTTAATAAACCACATGGTAATTGATAATGATAGATTGCTATTTACAAAATTGTCACTTTCTATCACGACTATGTTCTCTTTTGACGGTGATCGGCAACAAGAATTACGAGGATATCGCCAATTCTGTTATCAACTTGGCACAAACATCAAAAAACGGATACATGGATGTCACATCTTTGCCGCCATCAGCCTGTCGTTGCAAACCATTTGAAGAACTGGAAGGCAATGAGACTGCGGTTTCCTTTTTTTCGAAATTTGATGGCACCGTATTTTCATGATTGTGTGATGATATGGATGAAATTTCAGATTCCGATCGCGATATGAGATATGGCGACGAGAATGACGATGCTACTGACTCTGCAATGATTGAGGGTGCATCATAGCCAACATTTTTGAAGTCGACAAGATAACTATATAAGTCTAATCTGTATAATTGCAAATCAATTTTGACCTAGTAATTTTGATGATGAGACGGATCTGTTATTCAAGAATATTAAGGAAACTCTTTTGTGAACAACACCTACTTGCAATCCAGAGTCGTATGTGTATCTACACCGAATGTGAAAAGGATCAATGGTTTTCCATTCCTAAATTTCAAAAATTTCTTCAGACCTTTTTCCCCTTGATCTTTCGAATACATTATGTATAAACATTTACCATCCCAATGTTTTTAAGTGCACGGTAAATTTCCAACATCACTTCTAACGGAGGACTTCGTGAACGAATTCCAAAATGCCATTTTGATCTCGGTTTATTCCGCTTGGTTGGAAAGGAAGAGTTGGAGGAACCCGGGTGTTGACTGCCCATCGAAGTCCGAGAATCTGACAGCGAAAATAATAAATTAGAAATTCGTATTGCTTAACGAGTGATCAAAGTTCAAAAACAAACCTTCACTAGTGGGCAAACTCGAATTAAGTAAAGTTATATTGGAAGAATTCTCATAAGCTTCCTCAGCTAATCTAGCCTTTTCCTTGGAACGCTATGGAAGTGAAATATTTTTCAACACAGCATTCATGGTCGAGTCATGAAATATCAAAATGATCTTGTCCTATCACCAACCTGAAGATTATCCCATGAAGGTGGAGATTGTGCAAGAAAACTTTGGATGCTATTTTGATCATGCATTCTACCTGCGGAAGGATTAACACGCGAGTGAAGTTGAGTAATCAGAGTTTCGAGGAAAAGTGAATAGAGACCGTGTTACAGCAAATACCAGCAGATAACATCCTCTTATGGTCGACGACGAGTTGATAGGCAACTTTGATTTGATTGTTTTCTGGTTCCTGTAATGTCTGGACTATTGCATCCTTGCTGAAACCCATTTTCTAAAAGTGACACAAGAATCATTGAGCGTCGATTACAGTAACATAAAATTAATACGTTTACACGCGCCAGTACCTTAACGAGCTCGGTAACAATATTATTGTCGATTTCAGTAAAATGATCTACTTCATTGTCTGGTAATGGTTTTAAATAATCAGGTAAGCCAACGTTAAACCACGGCATTTTTCTATTTCGAATAAATTCAGAACATAAGTGAATTGCATCAAATATTACTATCATTCTATGATCACTCATTCTTGCCTTATTTCTGAAATTGTGATTCTTTTCATAGGATCAACAACCATCATGGAATTCAATAAAGATTTGGCTTCGGGCGAGAGAAACGGTGGAATCGTGTAAATCCCCCCTGAAGTGCAAGTAGGGATCAGTAGGTGTAAACGTTCTTCAAGAGTGAAAGCAGGACTCACCGTTGATTTTTTTAAATAAGGCCGGTATGTATTCATCATCAAATGGCAGGTGTCCACAGAGCATCACATACAAGATGACACCGCAGCTCCATACATCCACTTCGGGCCCCGCATATAACCTATTGATAAGATTCGGCAAGCCAAAATTCGTTATTTAAATCCTAGACATCAAATCATGGTAAAAATACCGGTATACCTTCCAGATATAACTTCGGGTGCGGCATAATTTGGGCTTCCGCAGCTAGTCTTCAAGAATTCACCATCTGTCATGATGTTTGATAAACCAAAGTCGGCGATTTTAACGTTATGATAGGGATCTAAGAGAAGACTTTATTTTCAAATTCATCGCAAGGGTGTACTGAATATAGATGTATTTCATAACTTCATAAAACTAGGCGTCATTTGATGAGAGACTCACTTCTCTGGCTTCAGATCCCTGTGGGCAATCTTGTGGCGATGGCAATATTCTACAGCACAGATGATTTGTTGAAAGAATCGTCGGGCGTCATCCTCGCACATCTGGAAAAGACGAGGCAGATGATTTATGAGAAATCGCGAACTGAAAAGAAATGAACAAAAAAATCTCGAATAACTTACTCTACCCCTTTCCACAATGAGATTAAATAATTCACCACCGGCATATTCCATCACCATGATAATATCGGTTGGCGTGGTGATAACTTCGTACCTAATTGTCATCGGGAAAAAAAAATAGATCAATGATTCGGGTTCGAAGTAAAAATGTCATCTTAATCGAACACTCACAGTTTGATGATATGTGGATGACGGAGAAGTTTCAAGTATTGAATTTCCCGTTTCACTCTTCCGATCATATCCAAGTTGGCTATTTTCTTCCTATTAATAAATTTCATTGCCACCTTATGACCAGTCACCGAATGTATGGCCACTAGAGAAGCATTGAATAAGTAGAGAATGTGTTTGAAATAGAAGGATTGAATGAATCGAGTTTTGTAAGAAATTGCGCGTGCTTTTTTTAAGCATGGAATTTTGATCCCGCGCAACAATAATTACTCTTGACTTTTCCAAAAGATCCAACTCCAAGGGTTTGAAGCACATTATAATGTCCAATCTTAATTTTGTTGGATGCCATGGTTGTCTTTGGGTCATAGATAGAAAACAATGGTATGATGGGTTTTAAAAAAAATTTCGGATATAAAAGTGAAACAGAAAAACGCCAAGTTGCTTTATACCTATTATTTTACCAAATCCAGTAAATGAACCACGTATTTAGTTACTTGTGCAATGTATTACGTAAGAAGTTGTGTTTGATTGAAAAACAAACGAGATTTTTGCACATGAAAAATGGCAGGGCACAAGCTGTCTAAATCTTCGGATAAATAAGGAATAACCACCGCCGAAAATTAAATTTACGATTTCTCTTGCATAATGTGAAAATTTCCCATTAGAGACTAGATGGATTGAAATTTCACTTTTGTGGTGATTCAAGATTCGTCATCGAATTTCCGATATACGTCATGTGTGATGTATGGTCGACAGTGACCTCTTTTCTAATATTAGCACAACATTTTGATTAAAAATAGAGAAGGCCGAGAACGATTTACTGTTCAAGCAATAATTTATATTTCGTGTAATTTATATTCTGAATATTGGCATTGTCACAAATAGTAAGTTAAGTTTAACTAAAATCCTCGATGTCAACCCCAATCTCTTTCGCAATATCTGTGACGTAATCGTCTATTCCACCCTCCAATAATTTCACGTTACCCTTCTTCACGACGTAAACTTCATTTGCTACATTCTCCATGAACCATCTGTCGTGGCTCACCGTTACCACCGCTCCTTCAAACTCCCCTAAGATCCTAGCTATGGCCTCGTTGGTGGCCATGTCCAGGTGATTAGTGATTTCATCTAATATCAATAAATTCGGTGACGTGGGAAACACCTGTAACGCGAATGCAACTCTAGATTTTTGCCCTCCCGAAAGATACTTAAGTTTCTTCAATGCAACATCACCCGAGATTCCAAACTTTCCTAGATGTTGGCGTACCGTCTGATCATTTACATTCAGAGCAGTCGTCGGCGAATTCGACTTTTCGGAAAAGTACTGCTTCATATACGCTATTGCAGAGATTTCAAGGTTTAGAGAATTTACGTGGTTTTGGTTGAAATATCCAAATTTCATCTGTGGATGTCGATTGACCATTCCTCTGGTTGGTTCTAACGTTCCGGCCAGTAAGCCCAGTAGCGTAGATTTACCTTAAAAAGGTTTAAGGGCAATTCAATGATCTTCATTCACAAAAAAAAGGAGCTAAATTTAAATTGGTCATGATAGACCTTGATCATACCATCACCATTCGCGCCCACAAATCCAATCCTCGAATTCGGTGAAATGCTCAAAGAGACATTACGCAATATCTGCTTGGAAGAATTTGGATACGTAAAATATACACCATCAAGTTGAAGCAGGGGTCCCTGATGTCTGAGTGGTTGCGGAGGTGGGATATTCCAATTAATCAAGGATTCAGGAGCTTCCAGCGCAATCTCCGCACGGACCGTGGTATAATATCCTACAAGGTGTTTATTTAGTTTGAACCGGAATCCATCTTCACTTTTATTCATTCCAAACCTTTCGAGTTTCTATTTGTAGTATCGCTTATTATCTTTTCTCTTTTATATAAGGATTTTCTTTGTACGAAAATGACCAACCTTTTTCTTACTAGCGACCACCTCTAATCTCTTATCATCTCCACTCTCTTTAGCTTTCTTCATCCCTTTCTGTATACTAATTTCAATATGCTTCTTCTGTTTTTCCTGTGCCTCATACATCCTCTCCTTTTTCAGCCTCAGATCCTCTAAATTCTTCTCGAACTCATCATAGTTTCCAGTATGGTACGTCAATTTTTGATCCTTGAACCTAATTATTTCTGTGACCGTGTTATTTAAGAATCGTCGGTCATGGGAAACTATTACCATCGTGGTATCGATCAAGGTGTTGAGGTAGGATTGAAGCCAAAGGATGGCCGGTAAGTCTAGATGATTTGCTGTGGAATGAAGATTGGTTAAATTTTCACGGTTCATTCTTTTTAATATCTATTTAAATTATTGACTATGATTAATCGTGCAATCATTAAGTTAAATTACTTGGTTCATCAAGAAGCAGGATGTCCGGTTCCAAAAATAATGCTTGAGCCAATGCCACTCTCTGCGAAAATAATTTCATGTATGTTAAATGATAGAGCATTAAGAACAGAGTTTACATGAGTCGCAAACAGACAACCACATACCATTCTCCACCCACCAGAGAGTGAAGACAAAGAAGCGACGGGAGAATATTGCTGTTTCTCAGAGAACCCCAATCCCGATAAAATCTCTCGTGCTCTTGGTTCGGCTGAATCTGCATCAATCTACATATAATAAGGTTGGCAAGTTGCACAATATCGTCGCATTTTTGAGATAGACTAGAATTAATAAAAACCTGGTCAAGTTTTGTATAAACTTCTTCAAGAAGCACATGCAATTTTGCCGTATAATCCTCATTTGGATCTTCGTGTTTTTCATCCAGCGCTCTGATGGGAACGGGAAAGTTGTTGTTTATTTTGAATGATGTGAAAGTATGCGAAACCGAGATAAAAACCTCTTGGCCTCCAAAACCCTGGCTTCAGCATCCAACAATTCTTGCCTCGCTTCGAGACCTCTCCTACCACTCCTCTGAATTGCAAGTTTTTCTGCATCTTTCAATTCTTTCGTTAGTCTTTCAAATGTAACTTTTTTCACCGCATTTTCGGCATCCATGACGTCACCTTCGGCCGCTTGCTGAAGGATCTGTTTCTCTTGTAGGAGCATGGTTCGTTCTTCGTCAGCCTGTAAAACCAAATCAATGACTCTTAGGGACTCATCGATGTGTTCCAACTGCTCGATATAGAGCACTCGAACATTCTTTGGAAATCCGATCAATTCCCGAGTTCCCATACATCTTAAAAGTGCTAAAAAAAGATAAGGTCATTAGTTAAACGAAGGACCGACGAAAGATTTAATAAAATTTGAAAACATACTGGATTTGCCTATTATCATAAAACGAAGGAAAAAAAAAGAAGTTTAGAAACATCGACGGTTTTTGTTTTTTATTTGAAATCCGGGATACAGACCAACACCGTTACGGCCGATCAATCCATAATGAACTCCGGCTTTCAATTGTAGTCGCGAGTCCACCAACAACTCTTGGTGACCAACCGTGATATTGACATCTTTCAGGTCAACCTATTCACGTATCATGTCAAGCGACAGTAAGCATGGTAAACTAATTGAACGTATCTAAAAGAATGCAATCTGTGACTCGCCTCCTTCGACAAAGTTTCTAAAGTTTCTGTGTGAAATCTCGATTGTTGTGAGTAGGCCACTATTTCAACAACATCGCTCTTCAGTGGTGACGAAGATGAGCTGATAGTATGAGCGGTCGATGTCGGGTTTGTTGGAGAAGACTCTGTCGTCTTTTCGTTAGACTTTTTGCTTGTGTTACCCGACTTGGACGTGGTCGATAAATTAACCTTCGATAAAGACATTAATACTCTCACTCACTCTGTCCGAATTCAAAAAGAATCCTTGAACATCCATCTACCTTTGTCTGCATCTCGGATGGCAATCTCTCAACTAGATCTCTTACCGAAACACTAGGCTTGTCTTCCTTCCATTCCGCGGATAGCTTTAAATAAAAACTTTCCAATTCCTCGTCACTAGTTCCTGCATCAATCAAGAATTGTTCTGTGGCGTCCCTCAAAGAAGCGAAATCCTCGATATCGGTTAATACATTCGCGATGTATTCTTTAATATCTTCATCAAGTGAGATTGAAGAAGGGAGGTTAGAAAAAAATAGTTGTGCCGAATTGGTGACACACATCGAAAAACAATGATAATTGCAAATAAGGAGTTTATTTCTGAGCACAAGGGTGGTGTGAATTCATGGGTTTAAATATGCTTTATGTGCTGCAGTAATATACTACGCATTTTTTAGAGGACGCAGTTTTCGTGCTGCGGATGAATTTGGCGATTTTCATTACCACATACATTTACAGCGTGTTGTATTGTTCGTATGACTTACCTATGACATCAGGAGATAACCGAAGTCACAGGTAATCTTGCGATTGTAAAGATGTCAATTGTAAAGTCAAACGTAAAGATATCAAGATATCGATTTTGACTCAATCATTTTATTTTACCATTGCCATTATTTTAATACATAATATCAATCGAATTTTTCAAAATAAATTAAAAAGATATTTTAAACAAATAAATTATTGTTAACCAAACGGACGGATTATTTAACTAAAAACACTTAAGCTAAATCAAAAAGAACAAATTCGGCGTTTTTCGTCCCAGTAGATTCAAAAGAAATTTCATCATCGCATTTAACATTAGTCACAAAGGCCCCATCACCTTGCTTTAGCAATTCGTCATTAATTTTTAACTCCCCGCCTGTGCTAGCCAGGTGAACATAAACCTTTCTCGGTTTATTCGTCCCCCGAACTTTATGCACCACTTTACGACCAGGTTCTAATATACTCGCAAACATATGAAAATCGGTGTGGATTTTAATTGTGGAGTCGGGATCATCGGTTTCCGACTCGGCAGGAGAAATAATATGAACCAAATTATTGAGTTTAACGGCCTCGGGAAAGGTTTTGGTGTGGTAGTTGGGTGTGAGACGTGGGTCATCGGGTTTCACCCAGATTTGAAGGAAATGGACGGGTAGAGAGGTGTGAATATTATATTCAGAATGAAAAATTCCTGTGCCGGCCGTGGTGAATTGGACATCGCCGCGCTTAAGAATCTCTTCGTTGTCCATCGCTTTAAAACAGTCGAAAAATATTAGAATTCGATGATCAATGATCACAGTGCCCATAATCAAACTCTGTATCTATAACACATACAATCTTTATGTTGAAGTTCGCCAGAAATGATGTAGGAAAAAATTTCGAATTCACGATGAGGATGTGTTCCAAAGCCGGAGTTGGATGCAACGATGTCTTCGTTGATGACAGTCAGCGCACCAAAATTTTGAAAATTGGCGTCATAGTAATTTGCAAAAGAGAATGTGTGATGAGTGTTGATTCCTCTGTGATTTGCGTGACCTTTGGTTAAAAAAGGTATTCGGATTATCATTATTTGTGAAAAAGATTCTCATATTAACTTTACAAAGAAAATGAAGAGATGAACAATTACCTCTATCCTCGGACCTCCTTACGGTAATTTTACAAGACATTTTCTTTTAACAATTATTTTTCTGTCAAAAAAACTTTACTTTGAAATTTTGAATTGAATCTCCGAGTTTTTCACCTCGATTATTTATAATTTTCAAAAAAGCAACGCGTGACCACGGTGTTCCCAAATAATCCAACATTTAGCGTTAGGGATTACAAACCTCCATCTGATTTGTCAGAAATGACGTTCGAAATTACTTTTTTGTAAGTTTCATTCACGTGATTTAATTACTAATAGCAATACATAAACATCAAGTTAATAATCACAAAGTAAACTTTTTATAAATCAATAAATTTCTTCTATAATTATAATAAATCACACTAAGATTTCTTTCACGTCATGTCCAGAATTACATCACTATTTCAAACGTGTATATTAGTGGTCGTCAATGCCGAATCGCTGTTGCCCTTCCTTTTTTTTCCCTCGTATTTAATCTGCATCTGCATTGAGGTATTTGGTATATAAATTTATTGCTTTTGGGGGTTGATTACATAAAGTTTTCAAAAAACAAATGGCCAGAAATTTACCCGCAGGATGGGAAGAGAGGGTAAGTCTTGAAAAACATGAAATCTTTTTACCGATCATTTGACGGATCCTTCATCAATATATAGTTTGATCCCACTCACAATCGTCCTTATTGTAAGTTCCTTTACCTCATATTCTTCTGTTTAAACGTTCGAAGAAATTTCTATTTTACTCGTAATCTTTGATGGGTACAGACGCGAATCATAATAATAGGACAACAACATGGGTACCTTTTTATTGTTTATAAATCGAAAGATGATGTGACTTCTATTTTAATACCATCCACTTGTACGATTACAAAGTATGATCCTCGAATCGAACATCTCGGTCCGCCACCACCTTATCAATCAGAACCTTTGATGAATCAACAATCGCAATACGTGCCAGACTTCAGCTATAACCGCGAACCACAATATACTCCTGTTCACCAATATACTCATCCTCAAGTATATTTTGGTCCGACGCAGCCTTACCAACCAACTTCTTATTATCCTGGTTTATTTC